ACTTTTAAAAACAAAGCGTGTTTCCTGCTGATGATATGTGCCACAATGGTGGGTGCCGCACAAACGTGACTCAGCCCTGACATGGAGGGACTTCCTCTAGGAAAAGGAAATTCATTATCCAGGCCCAGCCAATCCTTGGCCTCTCTAATGAAACTGTGAACAAGGGTACCAATTAGCCACAGTTGTGCTGGTGCTTCTGCCATAGAAAAGTTTGTCTTTTAGGAACAGGATGGAGAAGATCTTTGATGAACAGAGGGGAAGGACGGTCTAGTGATTAAAGGCAGTAGCCCTTGGACCTGGGAGAGACTGCACTTCAAGTTCCTGATCCACCAAAGACTTAGTGTGTGACCTTGAGCATATCACTTAGGTTCAGATTTAGAGAGCCAAGGTATTTCAGTGGAAATTAGGAGCCAAAATACCTTTGAGGATTTGGGCCTTAGCCACTCTGTCTCAGTTCCCCACTTGTAAAACAGGGATAACAGAGAGGCTGTGAGGATAAATACATTAAAGACAGTGAGGCACTGCAGTAATGGGGACTACATAAGTACCGAAGATAACTAGACCAATGAAAAGCCATCAGACTGGTTATTTACCATTGACCCAGACTAGATTGGACCTGCTGACTCAACTTAATGAGTTTCAAGAGAGTGGGACATATTTATGAGTGAATTAGTATTATGAGATTGTTTGTGATGGTGGGGGCAGGGCTCGGCAACCCTGACAGTCCCTCCTGATTGATGGTTCACCCAGTCACCTGCCAGGGTCAGGATTAAATAGAAGATAGGTTTCAGCATATTTCCATAGCCTTGGACAAACTGCAGAAAGACTGCTGCTGTATTGCTGATGCTTTTAAATCTGGAAAGAAGTTCAAGAGATACCGGAGAAAAAACTACCCAGCAACAAAGTTAAATAGCAAGCAGCAAATGGATCGAGAACTTTACAGCACTTCATTTTCTTGCCAATATTCTCAACCCAAAGTATCAGGGTAGATGTCTAACTGCTGAAGATGCTGCTGCTAAGACATGGGCACCAAATCACCAACCAAAATAAATGTCAGGGCTGGAGGGGAAACAGTCAAGCAGTACATGTCATGCTTGCTGACGTTTTAAAGAAAGTCACACCATTGAACTGGTGGAAGTTATTAGCTAAGCACCTGGAACCAGAGTTTCTTGAAGTGCTAAACCAGCTTTTGACAGCAGTAGCTTCCTCTGCAGGCACAGAAAAATATTTTCTTCATTTGGACTAATTCATTCAAAGTTGAGAAATTGATTCAGTTGAAAAAGGAAAATTTGTCTCTCTCTTCCAGTCTATGAATAAAGACAAAGGAGGGAGCGGATGAGATCTACTAGTTTTAAAGTTTGAAGGACAGCTTAAGTATCTTGGGAAACTCATTTTCAAGAGACGTAGGGCAGTAGGAATTTAAGCTTCAGTCACTTTCACGTAGGCATATTTGAAAATTTTCCCAGGCTGACCTGGAATGATCAATTTAATCCACTGACAACAGTCAATCCCTCTGTTTAATAAAAAAGCTGTAAATGTGAAACATTTTCATAACAGAAGTTTATGTATTCAAAACATTTAAGGTTGTTTTAATAGAAATAAATTTTATATGCTGTTTTGTGTGCAATTAAATTCCACTGACCATCCTAATGCAGCTCTACACAAATCACGAGCAAAAAGTTAATGATCTAGTAAATAAGCAACATATTCACCATTTTCTAACTTACTAAAAATGTACAATGAAGAATCTGAAAATATTAAGGTACACACTTGCTTAAATAAGCATAGTTATAGTGTACCTCTCTAGATAGCAAAAAGATGTACCAAATCTAGTGTAAAGGATCTATTTAGTTGTAAATCAACGTTTTAATAGTGATATCCACCAATGAGAATGAATTTTTCTTTAGAACATAAATGAAATCCAAATGGAAAAGTTGATTAAAATTGATAATTTAAATCGAGACTTTCCACTTGGTGAGTTAAATCAATCCACCCTGGTCAGGAAGGGGTTTGCCCTGCCCCGCGTATTCTTGGAAGTAGGCAGCAGTTTGGTCTCCTTCCTCTGAGGCATCAGAGATGGCTTCATCAAGAGACGGCACATTCAACTGGATGGGCCAGGACTCTGGAGTGGTATTGAGTATTCCCTTGGTCACCTGCTTAATGGGCTGGTTCTTGCTGACATGCTCAGGGTCTAACTCATTGCCGTATATGGAGTCAGGAAGGAATGTCCCCCCAGGTCAGACTGGCAATGACCTTAGGGGGTCTTTTCCCCCCCACTTCCCCTGTAGTATAGGGTGCAGATCATTTGCCAGGATTAACTGGGTCTCTCTCTCTTAGTCAATTCCCTGCCATTGTAGAGGCCTCAGGCACTGGCCACCTCAGTTCCTCCTATTCTCTGCCTGTGGCGCATAATAGTCTAGTGTCCTATGGACTGTAATGCTTTGGTCTAGTTTCAGTGGGTGCTGGTAGCCTGTGGTATACAGGTCAGACTAGATGATCTAATGTTCCCTTCTGGCCTTAAACTCTATGACCTCATATGCTGTACCAATGCAAGTCACTGTTTACGCAAGTACAATGCATCTCTGCCAGGTGGGGATGTTGAAGCAGTGCAACATCATTGGCTAAAACCCCTGTGTAGACAAGGTCTTAAACATATAAAGGATGTGTCTCTCAACACCAACCCCTGGAGCCAGCCAGTCCCCCCCTTGGACCTGTAATTTTCTTGCTTATTTTGTGCATTTAGGCTGGGGTTTTCAAAGGGGCCTCAGACTCCTTTAATAACTCTTTATTTATGCCAGGGCAGACCCCTTGTGGACATGCTTCTATCTGTTTAAAACAGGTTTTATCGATTTTACTCACACCTGTAAAATTTACCAATGCAAGCTCAATTGATATAAGACAAGCTCAGCCCAATGCAAAGAGCGTATCCACTCAAGTGTTTGCACCTGTTTAAGTCAGTTTAAAAGCACACCTGTAGTTAAACTAGGATAACTGTGAGTGTAAGTCAGGTCTAAGAGTTCAGCACCTAATTCCCTTAGGCTTCTTTGAAACTCTCAGCCTCAGTACCCCAGCGTGCGCCCCACTGTGATGTACAACTTTGTACAAGGCATTTCAAGAGCTGACCATCAGCCACACAGAGTCTGTTAATCCCAGCTCAGACTTCCATTTGGCTTTCCAACTGCAGAGACAGCAAGCCTCACCCTGGAGCTACAGAAGGGATAAAGAGTTTCCCTGGCATTATTCTCAAGTGACGCTGCTCTGGGAGCTGTGTCCATCCCTCCTCTACCTGTGTGTGGCCGTGGTATAATGCTTGAGACTAGAAAGCAAGACACACCCTGGAAGGAGGAAGGATCCTAGAGAGATTCCTCTCTTCAGCCCCCCACCCCCCTGTATTTCTGTTTTAGCCCCTGCCTTGTAACGGGTTGTGGGACCCTCTGGAATGAAAGGCACTCAGAGGCGTTATTATTACTGCACCGATTCAATGGCACATGACGACTGAAAGAACAGTGGCCACCCAGGCTCAGCTATTAGAAGTCTTGCTGTGCTATCAACATAGACCACGCCCTAAAGCTTCTGTCGACAGTGATATCACTGTAGGCATCAGTATAGCGATACCAAGGGATCTAGGAAAGATGAAAAACGAGAGAGGCAGGAAAAAAACAGGCAAGGGAAATGTGACAGCAGGCTGTGGTATTCTCCTGAAGGATGCAGGGCCCCTCCCATTTATTTCCCCATGTTTTCTGGACTGGCAGGAAGTGTTTACAGAAAGCAGAGTCATTGTAAGACTGGGAGGGCAGGCCAGCAGGTGATTCTCTCCTCTCCCTTCCTTTCCTGTTTGGAAGCCCTGTCACATTTTGGGGAGGGAAAAGAAGTGGAGAGGAAGAAAGAACAGAAGTCATCAGCAGCTGCCTTGAGATCCTATTGCCACTGGCTCCCAGGTGCAAAAGGTGCAGCAGGGGGATGTGGAGTGCCCCAGCTGAGAGAGGGCAGCTGGGCTGGGACAGACAGAAGGAGAAATCTATACCATTGCCAAACAGCCTAGACACATACGTGAATGCCACCATCTCCTTCTGCTAACGCAGAGGCTTTTAAATCTGGAGGTATGAGAACCACCCCAGTGGCCTCCGGAGCAGGCTGCTGGGGCCTGATTTTCACAAAACAAGAAGGTCTAAAAATCAAGAGGAAGAGTGAAAGCCTTTGGAGGATGGAGGAGCAACAAATTTGCAAATGCTCAGAGAATCATGGGAAGAAAAACTGCAGCCACCCCCCCACAAACACCAACAGGTGGCTACCCCCTCTCCCCTCACTACCTTCTTCCACCACGGTGCAGCGGCGGACACATCCAAGACCAAAGCTACTCCTCCACCCCAACCCAGACACACCCATTGTTGTCTCCCTTCTCCCCTAGCAGACGTAACCCCTCCCATTGCTGCTGCCCTCTCACAAGCATAGCCCCCCGTCCTCCTCCCTATACAAGCGCTCCCTCCCAACTGATGCATCCAGGCAGGCACACACGGACACCCCCCCCCCCACACACACACACTCTTTCTCTCAAAGGCACCCGCTTTCCGACTCCGAAGAGGGGTGGGTTGACCCTCCCAGCTCACTCTGGAGCCGAGTATCCCAGCTGGTGCAGGATCGACGGAGCTCCCGCGAGCGACCCCCCCCCCCCCTCCCAGCAGCAGCCGCCGCCGCCTCCTGCTCAGCAAAGCCAGCTCTGCTCTGCAATGCCCGGTTGCCGCCACCAGTCCTTACCGCGCACACATGCTCCCTGGGACACGCTGCCCCTGCCACTGCAGTGCCTGCTGCACGCCCGCCGCCCGGAGCATTCCCGGGGGGTTGCGTGGGAGCGGGGTGGGGGGGGGTCGCACAGGCAGAGAACCATCACCCCCCCCCCCCGCCGCCGCCCCCCGCACTTTGGAAACCACCTGCAAAAACAACTCCCAGGGCTGCACCGCCACCTCCAAGCCCCGCACGGCGCAGGAGACGCGGGCACTTACCAGCGCTCACCCCCGCCCGGGCGGCTTATCCTTGCGCGGCAGAGAGGCAAATCCTCAGCGGAGATGCGGGTGCGGTGGCGGGGGGGGGGGGGGGCTTCTGCGGGAGGCGCGCGCACAAAGTTTGGAGGGAAAAGGCCAAAAAAAAAAAAAATCCCCCTCCCGGCCAGAGCCGCAGATCCTGCCTCCCTGCCCGGCGGCGGCCGCTCTGGATCAATGGAGCGGCGGGCCCAGGCGAAGGTGAACTTTCCACCGGGGTGGTGGAGAAGCCCCCGGCTGGCAGCGCCCAGCCCGCATTGGCACCGAGCCCTGGGGCGCTCTCTGGCTGCAGCGGCGGCGGCGGCGGCTCGCTCGGACAATGTACGGGGGTGTGTGCGTGCACCAGCGGCGGCTCGGCGAGCCCCGGCAGCGGCGAGCGGCACACGCCCAGGCTCCGCTCCCCGCCCACCAGTCACTCACCGCCTCCCGCCGCCGCTGATAGGCGCTCGGCGCCCGCCAGCCCGGGCCCCCGGGCCCCCAGCCCCGGCTCCTCCGCCCTCCTGGTGGGCTGCGGGCCGCGTCAGTCACCGACGCTAAAGGCGCCTCCCTTTCCCTCCGCCGGGGCGCTGGGCCGGGGGGAGGCGCCGCCGCCGCCGAAGGGGACTTGCTGCTCAGCCCTTATTTTCAGCGCCTCGCTCAAGCCGTGGTGCCGGCCGGCGGAGGAGCGAGACGTGGGGAGGGTTGTTTGGTTGCAGCCTGGTGCACTCAGAACTTGAGCCGCTAATGGTGAGTTAGAACCGCGCTTCTGGCTGATAACCCGAATGGTCCAGACAGACCCCGAGACGTTGTTTAATAAGTCTTGGTCTCCTCCCACCTCTCTCTCTCTCTCTCTCTCTCTTTTTTTTTTAAATAAAAACAGACATTTGGGGCTATATCCTCAGGAGCCGGAAAGCAGCCTAGCTCCGTGGACTTCAGTGGAGCTGTGCTGATTTACACCAGCTGAGGATCTGGCCTTTTATATTCGCAGCAACAAGGCATCCTGCCTTGCCAGCCTCTCTCGCTTCCTTGTAACTTGGATTTAGTGGTGGTGAGAGGTGCTGGCCTATTTGATGACCCTGGAGGATGGAGTCTTTTGTTTAGCCACAGAACATAAAGGACCTGGGCAACTCCCACACTGCTGTGCCAGTTAGGGTCGTTCAGTCCCTGTGCTAGGACGCTCCTGGGCTTCTCCAGTCACAGGGAAAGGGACGCTTAAAATACTGCCGCAGTGCTTCAGTGAAGATGCTCCTAAACCAACAGGAGAGCTTCTCCCGTTGGCATAGTTAATCCACCTCTGTGAGAGGCGGTAGCTATGTTGATGGGAGAACCATAGCGCTCTCTACACCAGGGGTTGGGTCAGTATAAGTGTTGCTCAGGGGTGTGGATTTTTCACAAGGGGGTTATACAGATGTAAGTTTAAACTACAATACAAAGGATGAAGAATGGGAGTGGGGAGCATTGGAGAAAATCACCAAACCCCCTCTGTCTAATAGTAATGTAGCTAGTATTCACCCTTTACTTCTAGTTATTAGTCAACAAATACATGCAGTCATATGCTCAGTGTTACATCATAGGCACCTGAAGAGCAAGTGAGGGCTGGGGACTCAAACTCGCCTTTATACTGGCTACTGACCATTTCCAAAAAGGTCAGTAGCAGACCATTCATGGAGCACATTTTGACAGGAAATTTTTTCAGCCCAAAAATGTAGACCCGTTTTAATCACTAAAGCACCATAAGCATTTATGCAGCCACACTGTCCTTTACAATAAGGCTCCTTTACACCACTCTGGCAATGTAAAGGAGCCTTTAAAGTGTTATACCTATTTTCTACTCCTGGGGGAATTCACTAACAACAATGGGAACAATTCACTAAGTAGGCAGGCTGCTACATTCTCCTCTGCCTGAGGCAACAGAGCCTGCCCCATGCCTACCCCTTCAGAAATACCCCCCAAATTTTGCCCCTCCACGCTGAGCGTGCTGCAATAGCTAGCAAGAGGGACAGAGGACATGACTACCCAGCCCCCCCGCATCCCAGGTGGTGATTTATGTCTCTACCAGCTGCTCTGTATGCCCAAACCAACCTGTCTGCACTACCAGGAAGTGGGCGTATGACCACTTTTTGTGGCTTCTCTTTACTTCCCCATTAGAAGTCATTTTCTGCAGGTAAGCAAAGAAATCTCCGGGGGCCATGAATTCTGCATATGCGCAATGATGCAAAATTCCCCCAGGAGTAATAGTGTAGACCTGGCCACAGTGAAACTACCAACAAAGGTGCCTTCATGGCGGTTTCTATGATGTGAATGCCTGTCCACTAATATGAACTGGTCTGAAACCTCACTAGCCATCAAGCAGATATCAGCTCCACTAGTCTCTGTAGCACGGCATCACCTATTCTCGGGGAAATGGAATGTAAAATTCACTAGTGGTGCAGCTCTGCTGGTCGAAGCTGGGGCATTTTTAGTGTTGTCCTGTCTGTCCCTGCTCAGATTATGGCTGCATGAGACAGAGGTAAAAACTAGGGCTGTCAATTAATCAATTAACTCATGCGATTTACTCAAAAAAATTAATCGCGATTAATCACAGTTTTAATCGCACTGTTAAACAACAGAATACCAATTGAAATGTATTAAATAGTTTGGATGTTTTTCTACATTTTCATATATATTGTATTCTGTGTTGTAATTGAAATCAAAGTGTATTTTTTTATTACAAATATTTGTACGGTAAAAATGATAAACAAAAGAAATAGTATTTTTCAGTTCACCTCATACAAGTACTGTAGTGCAGTCTTTGTTGTGAAAGTGAAACTTACAAATGTAGATTTTTTTTTGTTACATAACTGCACTAAAAACAAAACAATGTAAAACGTCAAAGCCTACAAGTCCACTCAGTCCTACTTCTTGTTCAGCCAATTGCTAAGTCAAATAGTTTGTTTACATTTACAAGAGATAATGCTGCCTTCTTTCTTATTTACAATGTCACCAGAAAGTGAGGACAGGCATTTGTATGGCACTTTTGTAACTGGCATTGCAAGATATTTACGTGCCAGATATGCTAAACGTTCTTATGCCCCTTCATGCTTCAGCCACCATTGCAGATGACATGCTTCCATTGCTGATGATGCTCGTTAAAAAAAAAATGTGTTAATTAAATTTGTGACTGAATTCCTTGGGAGAGAACTGTAAGTTCCCTGCTCTGTTTTACCTGCATTCTGCTGTGTATTTCATGTTATAGCAGTCTCGCATGATGACCCAGCACATGTAGTTCATTTTAAGAACACTTTCACTCCAGATTTGACAAAATGCAAAGAAGGTACCAATGTAAGATTTCTAAAGATCGCTACAGCACTCAACCCAAGGTTTAAGAATCTGAAGTGCCTTCCAAAATCTGAGAGGGACGAGATGTGGAGCATGCTTTCAGAAATCTTAAAAGTGCAACAGTCCAATGCGGAAAGTACAGAACCCGAACCACCAAAAAAGAAAATCAACCTTTTGCTGGTTGCATCTGACTCAAATAATGAAAATGAACATGTGTCAGTCTGCACTGCTTTGGATTGTTATCAAGCAGAACCTGTCATTGGCATGGACGCATGTCCCCTGGAATGGTGGTTGAAGCATGAAGGGACATATGAATCTTTAGAGCATCTGGCACATAAATATCTTGCGACACTGGCTACAACAGTGCCATGTGAATGCCTGTTCTCACTTTCAGGTGACATTGTAAACAAGAAGCGGGCAGCATTATCTCCTGCAAATGTAAACAAACTTATTTGTCTGAGCAATTGGCTGAACAAGAAGTAGGACTGAGTGGACTTGCAGGGTCTAAAATTTTACATTGTTTTATTTTTTAATGCAGGGGGGGTTTTGTACATAATTAAACTTACAAGTGTAGAACTTTCATGATAAAGAGATTGCACTACGGTACTTGTATTAGGTGAATTGAAAAATACTTTTTTTTAACAGTACAAATACTTGTAATCAAAAATAAACAAAGTGAGCACTGTACACTTTATAGTCTGTGTTTGTAATTGAAATCAATATATTTGAAAATGTAGAAAACATCCAAAAATATTTAAATAAATGGTATTCTCCTATTGAGTAACAATGCGATTAATTGCGATTAATTTTTTTAATTGCTTGTCAGCCCTAGTAAAAACACATGTGCACTAGCTGATGTACAGCTTCAAAAGTTGCTGCCAACAGTGGAGCTGCCCTGGTGGTGAATTACAGGTCCTGAATTTTGCCAGTGTAGATTCAAATCTGTTGTCTCACTGCACAGCATAGTGCACAATGCCCGTATCAGCAGACCAGCGATAGCTGTTCTTTCACTATCTCAGGGTCACTGGCTTGCACCCGAAGCTGGTCTACAGTCAGTGGTGATCGTTACCAACTCATGGTTAATTTTTTGCCTTGATCACCTCAATCCTGTTCCTCGTCAATAACTGTTCACTTTACAAAGCAACCACCATAATTGCCAAAATGGATGCTGGTTATGCCAGTGGCAAGAAAGAGGGAAAGCACAGAATGAGAATGCAACCACCCTCCTACAAGTGGTCCCACTGGTATTGAGGTACTCTGGCCAGGCAGCGTAGGGACGTTCACATTTTTGCTGCCCATGGTGTATGTGTTCTCTGGAAAAATAGAAGATATCAGCCTCTTGTCATAAGGAGTGGGTCTTCTAGCTCAGGCAATAGTGCCACTTATGCTGTAGGATCCACAACTCCCCGGTCTGATCTTCTCTACCAACAGGCATGTATGTATCCTGAGGTACTTTGGCATGATTTCCACCCTGTTTCAGAGAAACCTTCACACAGGGTACAATTAAAAAAATGGTCTTTTAAGTCCCATTATAGATGAAGATCATCCGAAATAATTCTGCAGGGTGTACTCTGATTTATCTATTTCCACTAGAGAAACCCAGGAATCAGCCAAGTTGAAGTCTGAACTATCTTTCCCCATGCCCCGCCCCTCCAGCTAATCACAGAAGTTGTTTCTCCATGATAACTTTCTCACTGACATAGCAAACACCAGAGCGTGCTAGAATCAAAGGGATGTAAGTGTGAGTGTGTCCAGATTTTGCCCTTGGTTACACCAATGTAAATCCAGAGTAATTCCAGTGAAGTTAATAGAGTTAGGCTGACTTTACACTGTTGTAAAGGAGATCAAAACCTGGCCCCCTGTCCTGGACACTGAGGAGAATTATCAGTCCCAGTTGTATCTTGATTGCAAGTAGCTGGACTGAATCCTTTACTGTCTTCTTGGAACATTTTAAGGTTGAGGTGCACTGTGGGTCATCATGGGTAACTTTGCTTAGCTTTGGTGGTTTTAGGTAGCAGAATGTTGCTGCTCATTTCCATGGTTCCATCCTTTGCTTACCACACGTTCATTTGGTCCCTTCT